CCCTAATGTTTTCATGACCCAGTTCTTGTCCCTAATCTTCTAAGATCCGTTCCTTTCACATGATTCTAATTCCTAAAGAGCGGCCTCTGAAACACTGCTATTCTCAGCTCATATGAACTGACAGGCAGAAAGGTGTGTGTTTTTCTGAAAGGAAAATGCAGATGGGGGCCCAGGAGGTGCAGAACCAGTTCCATCTGGGGAGAAAGAAGAGGAGAGTGCTAAAAGGGAGGAGGATGCTCTGAAGAAGTCCCCCACCCAGTGGAGAGATTTCCTGCCCACTGTCTTACTGGACCCCTCTTCTCCCATAAAAGCCCTTACCGGCCCAAGCCCTGTAAGACAGAGATTTGAGGAACAAAGAAACCCCTCCATCTTCTTTAGGGCCGGCTTTGAATAAACCTACTTGTTTCCACTAATTTCTACCTCCCAAGTGTTTCAAGTCTTTCTTTGAGAGTAAGAAACTTGAAGTTTGGCAACAAACGGAAAGGAGTTAGTAGAAGAATACCTACTCAGTAATGAGAGCAAAATTACAAGACTGGTTTTCTTGTGAAAAATAGAAATAAAAGTTGTGCTTCAGGCTAGATCTAATGTGAGGTGTAAACAACATGGCCAGTGTAAATTCAGTAGACCCTGAGGAAATTAAAAGAAAATAAGGCAACAGAACTGTGTTGTAGTCTTCAATCTCACCCAAAGTCTGGAAATCCATATTCCACAAAGAAGAAAATCCATATTCCACAAAGAAGAAAATTCCAACAGAAGAACTGTTGATCGTACATTTTAGGTAGAATAAAAAAAAAAAAATAAAGATAGAAAAGAGATAGTTAAGTCAATTTTAGAATTATATTTTTAAGAAAAATTGCAAGCTTCAGGACAAGAGTTACCGAGTTATCCAAATATTTTTTCCCTGCCAGGAATCTTGCTCAGAAATAAAAATTTCCTAAGGGTCTTAAGACAATAACCCCTTACCTGTACTGTTACCTGTAAACCATGCTTTTCACCTTTGAAATGGGCCATTACCTTTCCACTTGAACTGCCATCCGAGATAGGAGATGAGGGTGTGGCAAAGCGGCCTGGGGAAGCAGGCGTGGCCTGTTAACTCGGAGACCCCTGACACCTGTCAGGACAGTTCCCAAAGCCCTGCACGTGCACTTCTCAGAGCTCCAGCAGGTTTTCAACAGGATGGCCTAGACCTGACCTCACCCTGAGGCATGCGATCCGTCTCTGGGAGACCTGTATGTAGAACTTACCCCGGGTTTCTTCCAGCATAAAAAAGGGCAGCCATGAGGGGCAATGCTATCGTAACTTTTCATGACAGCCCACGCTGTTTCGCCTATGCTGCTCTCTTTTCCTATTTATTCGGCCCAAGCTCACACTGCAGAGCCAGGTTCTCTCGCACTCCTCAGGTGACTTTCTTAAGTAAACTTTGCCATTGCTTTTTGCTCCTTCTGTTCAATGCTTTGTTCGAGATGAGAAGCACTGGAATCCAATTCCCGAAGGAGACGGAGCAACCCTGAACCCAACAAGCAATGTTTAGCTGCGGAGCCACTTTTCAGAGTTTAACCTGTGACTGTGTCATCGCCCTTCACTTGATAAGAGCCATTTGCTTTCACCTGTGAAACGAACCCCTTCTTTCCACAGGTTTTTCACTCCCTAGCCACACGCATACCCAGCTGGAGACCAACGAGCCTCTCCTTCTTCAGGGCCCTACTCTATTAAGTGTGCATTTTTAAATTCTGCCTCATGAACCTCATGCTCACTGATATGTCTTCAAAACTCTTTTTGCTATAATGGAAGTCAGGGAATCTGCCTCATGGCAAAGACCGTGACTTCAGTGTGATTACTTGCACTAAGGCCGATTATGGCATGGCCAACCAGCTGAGCAAGTGGCTGTGACTGTCAATCATAGAGATTCAGGACATAGGAGCAGGATACAATTCCCAAGCCCTGCCCCCGGGACCAATCAGAAAGTGCTGTCTCCAATTCTGCTGGTGAGAAATCAGGCAGGTTTTGATAGGATGGCCTAAGATCCGACACCAACCTGAAGAATGAGGGCTACAAAAGCTCTCTGCCATTAACCTCATGGCCACCATGAACTGTTTCTGGCCTGCTCACACTCTGCTGACTGTACAATACACCTTCTCCTATCTTTAGTTGGCCAGCCCTCACTCTTTTCCTACCTTTAATAAATATAAAACCTCACTATCTTTTCCTTGTGTCTTACCCAGTTGTTTTCCTGGGACACCAAGGACATGGTAAGAGTCTACAGAACGCCAGAATCCAGTAACGTATTTCTTGTCAAACCCAGCCAGGAGATAAGCAGTTTTGGGAGGTGAGAAAAAAATGGTGAGGACTCAGGAAGTTTTCTTATTTCTCCAGAACAGCTCCTTAATGCGTCCTACCACGTGGGTGCAGGACACATCTGCATCAGCAATGGGGTTGCCATCTGCACCCTGTGCTGCACTGCTCTGGACCATGTCTCTAGGGGTTGGGGCTGGGATCTGTCTGCTTTAACATGTTCATGATGGGGCCATAATTCATATGTCTCATTGCCAGGCAGCTTGCACCACCCAGTGGTACATGCATGACTGTCCTTTGCTGCCCGATGGGCTAACTGGTCATGTACCACCAATGGCTCAAACTGGCAGGAATTTGTTAAACACACCCAAGTCATCCAAGGCTAATCAAGGAAAGAGCTCCTGCTTTGAGTGCCAGGAAAATGGGCAATGGGCATATGACTGAGCCATGCCACCAGCCAGGCCCTGCCCTGTGTGTCAAGTGGCCAATGTGAGTGACTTGTGGCACTGGAAGATTGATCCAGCTCCCACAGAGTGGGTAGGCCAGCCAAAACGCTCACCTCCTGCTCCGATGAAGGAGACCAAAGGGGCCTAGGGCATCTGCAATGTCCTTGTCCATGGACATCTCCATATCCTCTAAGGAACCTTGGGTGACCCTGGACATCATAGGTAACCAAATTCAATTCCTTATAGATACAAAAGTAGCTTACTGTGTTTTGACTACTCTGGAAAACTGTCTTCTAAGATCTTTAGCCATAACTGGGGTTGAGGGGAGCCCCAGTCAAAACTTCTTTATACTTACTCTGACATGTCAATTTGAAGGTCAAACATTCGATCATGAGTTTTTAACTGTCCCACAGTGTCCTAGTCCCTTACTACAAAGAGATTTACTGGTAAAAATGGGGCAGTTCTCTAATTCTGACAAAAAATTTAGGAATAAAGTACCATCTCTATTCTGCATGGAGACTTAGTCTTCAATAAAGATCTAAAGAGCCAACCAGATCCTAAAGTGAATTCTAGCAAAACCTAGACAAGAGACTTCTGAGTTTTGGCTTTGACTGCTCCCCAATGGGCCTCATGAGGATTCAAAATACCCCCAAAAAACTGAGTCTATTTGAGATATTACATAGGAGACCTTTCCTATATTCTGATATGGTAGTGGACCCAGAGACCATAAGACTCTTACAATATCTTATTAATCTGGGCCAAGTACAACAGAGTGTTAAACTATATGGGAACAAAGTTCTGCTGGTTCCTGGCATAGGAGGGCCACCTAGTGTTCACACTTGGAATGAAGTGCTCATTAAAACTTGGAAAAGAGGCACTGCTTTAGACCAATGAAAACCAAAATGGAAGGGCCCCTGTTGATTGATCCCTGCCACACCCACTGCAGTTAAGGTAGCAGAGACAAATGGCTGAATTCACCTTTCTAAAACAAAGCCAGCCCCACCTAAACTGTCTGAGGAAAAAGACCACCTGAAAGAGAAAAGTAACTCTTGTGAAGCTCTAGAACACCTGAGGCTCTTCTTCAAAAATCAGGACTTCAGCACTGCTCCAAGGTCAGATAAGTAGAGTCATAATGACCCATAATCTACCACAGATTAAATGGGCACCTGTGTTGGGACACCTGTTTTTAATTAGATCCATAATGTGGGTAATCTTGCTAAGGTAAAGCTCTCAGGCTCTTAGTAGTTTATCTAATATCCCTCTCTGCCATGCTTTATCCCGCACAGGAAGCATGAAAATAAAACTTAGACAACTTGTCACCAATAATAATACAGAAAAATGTTTCTAATTGCTGTATCTGTCACAGTCCACCTTTTAAGACAGACTAGGAAACATCTGATCTGCTTCTTCCCATATTTGGCTTCTGCATCCTCAACATAATAGTAAACTTACCCATTCATGACTTCAGATGGTAATCCAGACTATAGCCCTTGGCTCTCCTGACAAGTTCATCAAGCTTTCTCCTATTGACCAGGAAGCTCAACAGTCTTTGATATATAGATACTAATTCTTCTTTTCATTGTCTTGACAGGTTTTTTTTTTTTCACTGAGCCAGGGAATGCCAGTATCCCAATATAGTAAATAATTCCCCAGTAGGTAGGGCCTACAGCCCCTATCAAGCAAAAGTAGCTATATGAAGACAGAGACTTCTACAATCTCAACATACCATAAAGAATTATGGAGATTTATGTTTTCCAGGGAGAAGGGAGGCAAGATATTAGGGTGTGGCCAATCAATTGACCAAGTGGTATGACCTGTCAGTCATGGAGATTCAGGATACATATGCAGAATACACTTCCTAAGCCCAGCACCTGGAGTCAATCAGAAAGTACTCTCTTCAGTTTTTCTGGTGAGAAATCAATCCGTTTTTTGATAAAACATCTTAGATCTGACATCAACCTGAAGAATGAGGGATACAAAAGACCTCCACCATTAACCTCATAGCCACTGTAAACTCTCTCAGTGGTCCATTCTCACTCTCAGAGCATACTTTTTCCATACCTTTAATACATGTAAAACCTCGCTACCTTTTCCATACATCTTTCCCAGTTCTTTGTTCAGCACACCAAGGAGGTGAGAAGAGTCTACAGAACCTCAGAATCTGGTAATAGTAAGACTCCAGCAGAAGAGCAGAACACAGAGTTAGAATGCTAGCAAAAAGGATCTGAAGAAAAAAATGTGTGAAGAATATTCACTACTAACCTGGTTTAGTTTCTTCCAGAGACTGAGAACAGGAGAAAGTTCATTAGACCAAATTTCTCTGTCAAATTTGGAACCAGCTGTTACTGATCTGCCCAAGATCTTCAACTGTGAAATAACCTAAAGGAGGAAAATAAGGAGCAATAAATGAAAATAACTCCAAATAGGGAGAAATGGTATAGATAGAAAACCAGACATATTTACTTTATACACATAATTATCAAATATGTTATAAACAGGTTTTAATCCTATTGTGTCTGTACATTTGGCTTCATATTTTACTATTTAAGTAGTTAAAGTTGAGGGAACCCATTAAAAAAATTATAAAACCAGGCATCACAGTACATTCCTGTAATCCTAGCATTCACAAGGCTGTGGTAATAGAATTCAAAGTTTGAGGCCAATAAGGGCTAGACAGGAAGTTCAAGGGCAGCTGCACTACATGAGACCCTTTCTCAAAAGAAAAACAAAACAAACAAAAAAACAGAAAGAGTTATACATTATAAAGCTGCTTCTTCATGCAGAGAGCTTTAGTTACCCATTACTAATAACCTCATGGTATCTAGCTGTTCATTTTTAAAAGACATGTTTTTTAATTTAATGTATTTAAAATTTGTAATTTCAAACTGCTAACAAAGACTGTTTCTTTAAAATGTAAAGTGACAAGAAAGATAAATGGTCTGGCAAGAATAAAATGGCAAACCAATTTTCAGTAATTACTGGTTGGTAAGAAACTATTCATGAATCTAAATTTTAATGCTCTATATTAATTTTAAGTAGCCATTTCAATGTTTCCTCTATATACAAGACTCCAATGAAAGAAATATAGGTCAATTAATCAAAATGAAGCAAGGTAAATAATCATTCCTACCTAGAACTCTCACTTCTGTAGCTTTCTTATTACTAGCTTCTATGTTATCACTCTCATTAAAATCATTTCATTTAACTCTTATGGTGTTAATGGCTCCCACTTTAAGAATATTAATCAACTTCCTTAACCATGTGCTGAAAATTACTCAGAATATTAACAAGTATGCTAAATACTGTGTCACAAATGTGTCTAAAATCAGTGAGACATCCATGACTGTTTTTTCATATTTCAACATATATTAAAATTGTGCTATCTTACTCATAACATAAAATGAATCCAAAAAAAAGTATATGTTTTCTTAATGCAGCATTTTAAACTTCAACATCTCAATCACACTGACTACTTTTCTGCTTTTAAGTTCTGAGAGATGTAAGTTCTTTTCGTTTTCCACAAGTTGGGTTAGGTTTCATAGTTTGATAAGTTCTTTGCAAGCAAAACTTGTAATGAGGCTATAAATCTTTCAGAATGAATGTACTACTTAATTATTAAATATCTACAATCATGCTCTTAAACTCAAGTTACTCTTGTAACTTTTGATTGATGTCCTAGTCTTAAAAAACTATGGTGATTCAGTGTTTGATATGGTTTTTCTGATAAATTATTTTCATTTGCTCAAGCTGAACTCTACAACAGCACCTAATTTATCAGCTTTGCTGGACTACAAAACATCACTAGTTGTTAGAATGTGTGGTATTTTAACTCTAGTAACATTTGCTACCACTTATTTGTGTTTTAAATTTGTCAAACACGACAGAAAATAAGAATACAAAAAGAAGTATAAAGAAAAAGAGTACAAATAGTTTTTATACATGATGCTTAAAACTATTTTAAGGAAAATGTATGCCAGCCCAAAAGGGTCATGTTTTCTATTATAGAAAAACAACATATGAAGTTTTTATGCTTAAAAAACACTACTATAATTTTTAAAGAATAGAGAGTAATACAAAGAATTTTTATTAACGTGGACAGGGTTTAAGAGTAGAACGTATTTCATTTCTATAAAATCTAACATATTTTTATAAAGAACAGATAAAATGATTTTCTGTTTATAATATTTTAAACCACTTAAAACATTTTTCTCAATAATACTGCCTTACTATGGTATCAAAGGTAGATGAAATGTATTATTACCAGCTTATGTTATCTTACTGGCATCTTTTGGGGATCTTTACAGACCTTATGAATTATAAAGAAGTCTGCCTCGTAGGC